TGTGTGTGTGTGTGTGTGTGTGTGTGTGTGTGTGTGTGTGTGTGTGTGTGTGTGTGTGTGTGTGCGTGTGTGTGTGTGTCTGATTGCTTGTTGATTCAAACTTGGGTCTGTATTTTAACAGTTCATGGGTGTAGCAACTGAGCTAGGCTCATTGGTCAGTTCCAGTTTTCAAAAAAGTTCCCAGTGAACTTTTCAATCCTGTGGTTGTTTCCGATCGGGCATGACTGTGTGGAGTCTGCTGAAATTGGTTGAAGTCTTGGTCAATCATAACACGAGAACACATCATGCAGCCGGATGGCACGGGACTGTATGTGGCTCCTGGAGGTGCCGCTGCTATTGCTGTTTCATCTCGAACTTGGGAAGTTATCAAAGCCTGCCAGTCACAGAGAAACCTTGATTTCAATTAGTTAAGTCAATTTCAGTACATATAAAGCATGTAACTCTCTCTTCTTCTTCTTCTTCTTCCTTTTTTTTTTTTTTTTGTGTGTGTGTGTGTGCAACCCTTAGCATGTCCTGAGTCCAAAGAATGGGGTCAAATCAGCAATAAGATGACACAAGACATCTTTTTGAAGTGTACCAACGGGTTCTTAACTTATGAGATTCGCAATGACAGTCAACATCACATCGACACCGCGTCATGTTTACCTTCAAAGTCGAGGCCAACTGCCTCGTCTTGATATGAAGATATTATATAAACAGAACTGCTAACTGGTTTTCCCCGATCCGCGGCAGCAGGAGTGGCTGTATTTCCCCAGACATTGTGCACACACAAGGTATTTTACTAACTTTCTGCCTCGTTTTGATATGAGTATAATAATATATGATAGAAACAGAGCTGCTAACTGTTCTTCCCCGACCCGCGGCAGCAGGAGTGGCTGTCTATCCTCGTACACAATCGGCCCTGATTGTTAATGTACACACAAGGTATCTTTCCCGCCTGATACAATGATGATGACAGTGGGTTGTGTTCGGGCGAAGACAGTGACTGTGCCCATCAATCTGCAGTTGCAGATTAGAAGGCCGAGTTGGCACCAAACAACGAAAAACGATGCACTTAAAATGATGACAGGAAGTTCAGCACGAATATGACTAGTCACGAGTAAACTTTTTACTGATTGATATGAGTTATGAACTCACAACATCAATACTGCAAGCATCTGCTTTCACAAACCACGAGGACCTTCTCTGATACTGAAGAAAGAGGGGAAAGAAAACTTCAAAAAAGGGAGAAAGAAAAAAGAGGGAAAAAAAGAGGGGGTGGCCGCTAGCTCAGTGCATGGAGCACCGTTTGGAAATGTGATTTGTGGTCTGAGGTTGCGGGTTCGAGACTCTGTGCCCTCGCACATGGACACCGGCGGGCGTTGACGAATGCACGGCCCCTCGCACACCCCCCTTGGGCTGACGCATGGCAAGGATTACAGACACTGCCTGTGCACCACCCAAGGCGCATAGTCCATGGTCTATGTATGCTGGTAGCAAGCTTTGCGAGGGCTGTTGGAGTACTTTGCCTATGGTTAGGTCTGATGACTAGGGTCATGTCTTGTGTACTTCCCATGCCCGGTTGGGGGGGGGGGGTAGGTTTAGTCAGGGTCTTAGGGGAGGGGTTAATTGGGGGGGGGGGGGGGGGGTTGAGTTTCACTTGTACTTGCTAGGTGTAGCTGTAGACAGGGCCCTTGCCCTTAACAAACCTGAATGGACAGTAGATACCCCGCGTAGGGATAGAGGCCCCGTCATCGAGACAGCTTCACCCTTGTCTGTGCTTGTCTGGGCTTGTACCATGGAGATTCTGGGTACTTAGTTTCCTATCCAGCTGGCACACTCAGATTAGTCTATACAGACACGATTCTGCGGCCGAGGCGTGTGGACCATCTCTCTACGCACCCGCTTGATCAGTAGTAGGGGCTGGGTGTTAGACACATCTGATCTCTCTACGCGCCTGTTTGAGCAGTAGTAGGGGCTGGGTGTTAGACACATCTGATCTCTCT